TTTTGGGGTTTAATACCACTTTAAGGTTTTATTGTGGGAAGGGGGGGGGGGGGGGGCAATCTAAGGCTAGAGAGTGAGCAGGAGAGCAACTATAAAACTAGAGAGGCTGGTTTATAGATCCAATATAATTCATGAAATCATTTCTTACACAAGGAACAGTCAAGATACATCATGACTAGGGCCAGTGCTAGACTATTTTGCACACTAAGCAAGACCAGCTACTTGCACCCCCCTTCAAAAAAAATGTAATCTATAGTTCTACTTCACCCCTCCTAGGACACATCCTCTTTCCCCTCAAATTTTCCACCCTAGTACAAATCATCTCCCCCCAATCCACCTCCTAACACAAATCCCCCTAAATCCCTCCTCCCTCTCCTAGCACAAATTTCCCCTCAATCTCCTCTTCCAGCAAGATCTCACTCCCCCCAATCCCCTCCTCCAAGCACAAATCTCCCCTAAACCTCCCTCCTAGCACAACCCCCCAACCTCCCTAACCTCCTAACACAAATCCCCCTCCTAACACAAATTGCCCTAAATCCCTCCTCCCTCTCCTAGCACAGATTTCCCCTCAATCTCCTCTTCCAGCAAGATCTCACTCCCCCCAATCCCCTCCTCCAAGCACAAATCTCCCCCAATCCTCCCTCCTAGCACAACCCCCCAACCACCCTAACCTCCTAACACAAATTCCCCCCATTCCCTCTCCTAGTACAAATCTCTCCTCCCTGCAACAATCCTCTTCTTTCAATCCCCCCCCCCCCAGGACAAATTCCCCAAAATCCCTCCTCTAGCTAAAACCCTCCAAATTACCCTTCCCAGATTAAAATCCTCCTACTTTACCCAACCCCCCACCTTTTAACATAAATCGCCCCTCACCCCCAAACCTCCCTTCAACTCCTAGCACTTATATCCCTATTCCTTCTAGCACAATCCCCCCCCCCCATCATCCCCAATACCTTTCCCAGTACAATGAGCCTCCACCCCTCCTCCTGCAGGCTTTACTTCTCCAGGCTGCTCTTCCCTTGTCCCAACAGTGACTGCAGGGTTGGGGGAAGCACTTAGCAACCAGGCACAACGTCCATGGAAAGACAGGCCTGGGGGGGGCACAACTGAAATCTGGGAGAAGCGTAGTCCACCCCAATACTCCCCTAGATCTGGCCATGGCAGAGAGTAGGGAAACCAGTGGCTGTGCCCAAGGTGGCTACTTAGTTTGCCTAGTGGTAGCACTGGCCCATGACTTTCCTATCAAGGTACAATAAAGAACGGCAATCATTGCAGAGAAGTTCAAAAATACATCAATTATTTTGCAAGTGCAGCACCTCCACCACAGTTAACTTGCAGGGACAACTGGGCTAGAGGACAAAGTGGCAATTGCTTCCGGGTCAGTAAAAATCAATTATGGTGGGCTGGTGACCCCAAATGGTGTGGGACCCGCAGTCAGTGACAGATGTTGGATATTATATAGCTCTCAGCTCCCTTTTCAGTCCAGTGATCTTCCAGCATGAGCTTCCTTTTGCAGTATGATTTGTGATCAGGGACGGACTGACCATTTGGAAACTCGGGCACTGCCCGAGGGCCCGGGGTCAGTAGGAGGCCCCATGAGATGCCCCTGGTACCTTTTACATAGGCTTTTTTTGAGTTTGGGCAAGGACACAGGGGCCCCATGATCCCCTTTTGCCTGGGGGCCCCATGAGTTGTCAGTCGGCCCCTGTTTGTGATTGAATGTAGGGAGCTGCAAAGGGAGGCAATGCTAATATAATGAAAACTGTGAAATGTGTTGTGCTCATTTGCTATAGAAAGTGGAATGACAAGGATTCAGCTGTTTTGAAAACACACTGCTTGTCTGCTCTCCAGCTACATTTCTGAATGTGTTGAATATTTGCTCCCACCACCAGCCTCTGTGGTTCCTCCTGCCAGTTCAGACTTTACTACAAGCTAGGGGGAAAACCCCAGTGGCCAACAGGAGGGGGGGAGCAAGTATTCAACCCATCTCACTAGTTGAATACTTGTAGCAGTTTAGGAACAGAGAAGTGGCAGATGTCCAATAAATGGTCCACCAGAAAGGTAAGTACAGCATATAAATGCTTCATTTACAGGTAAGCTGCGGTGTTAGGCTCAATTTAAAGACAACACTCACATGTCCCCATTATCACCATTCACTGCTGTATCACAACACACTTTGTGTGGTACACATTCTTTACCCTCAGTAACCTGTCCCTACCATCAGTTTAGCTCACAAGAAGTGAAAAGGGCTCTGCATTTCTGGTGAGATCAACAGGTATGTTCTATACTTGCTGAAAATGTTCTCAGCTTGACCAAAAAGAAATTTAATGCAGCCTCCACATCTAAAGATTGGGATGTTGCAAAGTATGACATTAATTTTCTTTGGTTTAGATATACTTTAAAGTGTATCACTAGGCAAAACCTTCTGTTTTAGTTTTGGATACAGTGGGAAAGAGTTAGATCTCCAAACATATTTTAAATGCTATGTCTACATTGGGTAGATTCCCCCCTCTTCTAGTACTGGTATGATCGTGGATAAGGGAGCACCACCAGTCCTTCTGTGTGTGGCCCAGGCCAGCAAGGGGGTCATGGCAACTGGGTGAATCAGATGTGGGCAGGGAGGGTGATTGTCATGGCAGGGGGACAATTACTGGAACCGATCCTTTGTATGGCGTTATCTTCAGCAGATGAAAGCTGGCTTCTTCTCCTCTTCCTCCCACTGGCTTTCAGCTGTTGCAAAGAGAGCCATACAGGGGATCGGTTCCAGTAATTGCCACCCTCCTGCTGCACCCATCACCCTCCCTGTGCACCTTACATTTCCCGCTGCTGCCCAGGCCCCCATTTTTCCCCTCACCCCCACAATGCTGCCAGCTTCCCTCCTTTCCTTCCTACTGGCACTTGCAAGCAAGCACACAATAGGATCCTTCAGGATGAAGAGTGGGGGAAGGGTCCGGTAAATATGTCACATTTACCAGCCCCTTCCTTTCCTGAATGAACATAATGAGTGATTGGTACTGATCACTCACTGTGTTAATTCTTAGCTGAAGCATAGTAAACTGTGGGGGTTTTTTTTGGTGGTGGTGGTGTTGGGGCTGTCAGGTTGGCTGTATGGGGCCCTGTGGTTTCTAACAGCAGCCCTGAGTACTGGCGACCACTGTCAATGAGAAAAAAATGTCAGAGCTGTCCCCAGAACAAGAGGTAAAGGGAACTTGTTTAGTAGGGACAGCTGTTCTAGGAACAGCTCTCTATGAGAGGAATTGCTCTTACTTTGGGAGGTTTACTGTAACTTTCTGTTAAGTCTCTTGGAAAGGAAGTAAAGTGAAATTTCCCCAATGGTACATATATGTAAAAAAAATAACCTAGAAGAGTTTTTAATCTTTCCTTAGTCTATCAAAATTTTTAATAAAGCTTTAGATAGATTACCCCATGCATAAAGCTTGCTTTGTACATTTCACATAATTCCGAGTTATGTAAAGATTATACAGGAGGACCTATTGGATGTCATTTAGGAAATATTACACCATGACAAGCATGTATTTGAGGTTCTCTCTGAAGATTATTTCAGTATGGGAAATGTGAGATGGATCTACAAGACAGAGCTCTTCTTCTGGATTGAATGATGGCCAGAATTATTCATTCCATCCCCTGTGAGCCCAGAGTGCTATGGACACCCTCCCTGGGAAGGTAATGTAATTTGTCCTTATGTTGGCCTGGGCCCACTGAGTGGCACTCTTCTATCATTACATGAACACTGGTCAATGCAGAAATAAGAAGTCCATGTCACTTCTAAAGGAAGGGAATAAGATGGAATCATTATGCAATGTCCCCGGAGCAGCCAGAAGATTCTTATAAAAACTGAATAAAAACTGAAAAAAAAGGGGTGTTTTACTGTGCAAACATTTTTGGCAGGTGTTAAGAAATGCTATAAAGTATGAATGATTTAAAAATATATATATTTTAATTGTTTCTTTTCAATATTTACAAAATGAAAAGTGAGCGAACAGAAGGAAAATCTAAATCATATCAATATTTGGTGTGACTACTCTTTGGCTTCAAACCAACATTAATTCTTACACTTGCACACTTTGTACACTTGCACAAAGTCACAGATTTTCTGTTTACTGAAACAATTTTTCCAAGCAGGTGCTAATGATCATTAATTTCATAATTAATGATCATTAATTAATTGCATTTTCATTAATTTTATTTTCTTAAACAGAAACAGCTGTGTAGGATGCTTGAAACTGGGTGAGGAACAGCCAAACTCTGCTACTAAGATGAGGTCGCGGAAGACAGTTTTATGATGGGTCATACACCATGGCAAGACAGCACAGCAACAAGACACAATGTAGATATACTGTATCAGCAAGGTCTCTCCCAGGAAAAAAAATCAAAGCAGACTAGGATTTTAAGATGTGCTGTTCAAGCTCGTTTGAAGAAGCACAAAGAAACTGGCAACCTTGAGGACTGTAGATACAGTGGTCAACCAAGGAAACAATGCAGTAGACGAAAGACACATCATGCTTACTTCCCTTCGACATCAGATGTCCAGTAGTGTCATCAGCACAGAACTGGCAGAAACCAGTGGGACCCAGGTACCCCCATCTACTATGCAAAGAAGTCTGGTCAGAAGTGGTCATCCTGGAAGGATTCCAAGGTGGGAACAAGGCTATGCACAAATACATAAAAACTGGGGTGCAGGGAATGGCAGCAGGTACTCTGGGCAGATGAGTCTAAATGTGAAATATTTGGCTGTAGCAGGGGGCAGTTTGTTGGCGAAGGGCTGGAGAGCAGTACAATAATGAGTGTCTGCAAGCAACAGTGAAGCATGGTGAAGGTTCCATTCATGTTTTAGATCAGGATGGAGTTGGAGATTTGGTCAGAATCAATGGTGTCCTCAATTCTGAGAAATACGGGCAGATACTTATCCATCAAGCCATACCATCAGGGAGGCATGTGATTGGTTTTACATTTATTCTGCAGCAGGACAACGACTCCAGACCAGGGGCGGACTGACAACTCATGGGGCCCCCAGGCAATAGGGGTTCATGGGGCCCCTGTGTCCTTGCCCAAACTCAAAAAAGCCTATGAAAAAGGTACCAGGGGCATCTCATGGGGCCCCCTACTGACCCCGGGCCCTGGGGCAGTGCCCGAGTTTCCAAATGGTCAGTCCGCCCCTGCTCCAAACATACTATCTTCAGTGTAAAGAAGAACAAGGAGACCTGAAAATAATGGTTTGGCCCCCACAGAGCGCTAATCTCAACATCATGGAGTCTGTCTGGGATTACATGAAGAGACAGAAGGATTTGAGGCAGCCTATGTCCACAGAAGATCTGTGGTTAGTTCTCCAAGTTGTTTGGAACACCCTACCTGCTGAGTTCCTTCACAAACAAGGTGCAAGTGTATCTAGAAGAATTGATGCTGTTTTAAAGGTAAAGGGTGGTCACACCAAATATTGATTTGATTTGGATTTTTCTTCTATTCATTTACTTTCTATTTTGTTAATTGATACAAATAAACTATTAACACTTCTATTTCCAAAAGCATTCTTAATTTAAGACATTTTTTCAAACCTGCCTAAAATCTTTGTACATATTAAATGTAGGGGGAGCTCAAGGAGCTTGGCCTTTAAAACAAGAGTGTTGCTTTACATGTGAAGTATACATGTGGATAATAAATGTAAAGTTACAGTATAAGGGTTTATCCTGTTGCAAAACCTACACCTTTTCCATTTCTATTTAAAGGGAAACTGTAATGTTTTTGGGTCAGTTTTTCATTAATTTTATTTAATTTGCATTATTACTTATAACGATGTAACAATTGGTTGTTGGTTTGGTCTCAAGGTTAAATCCTGTCTATTTTAGGTAGATTAAAGGAGGAAAAATGAAAGAACAAGAACATGTGCCTTCATTTTATGACCAGTAGCATGTCATGACCCCCATCTATCTACGGCATGGCCCAAAGTAGAAGAATACAGCAGCAGAGGCCAGAGGTGCCAAGGACGCAAGAAATATTTAGGTGTCTTTTGTGCAGGATTTAACACTCCAGATTAATGCCATTGTGTAGACCCTCAGAGCTTTCAGCCGGGGGGCATTGTTGGGCTCAGTGAGCCTTTAAAAAAAAAAAAATCAATGTATTTGGTTTGTGTGACTGTTAATCTGCTCCCTCATGTCACCATTATCCCTCGCCTGTTCTGAGATGTTGTCACCTTATTGTAATGACTTAATACCCAACCGAGCCAAACAAAACGCACATAAATGGATATATAAATAACACAGATAGAGGTTAAGCTGCTTATTTAAAAGTACATACATTGAACAATCATATTTCTACAATATACAGGGAGAATTGCCAGGGCTGCTTGACTTTCATCACCAGTGCTTGCATATGCTACAGAATATCAAAGACATGAAAGGTACCATGTGCTTTGCTAAAGAGAAAACAAATATATAAATGAAAGACTAAGAAAGGGTCAATGTACATTGTAGTTATTTCCTGACAATGAATTGTACTAATTCATCACAACACTGCACCATGTATGAACCATCTGAATATGAACATCTACAGTTGCAAGAAAAAGTATGTGAACCCCTTGGGATTACGCAGAGTTTTGCATGAATTGGGCATAAAATGTGCTCTGAACGTCATCTAAGTCACAACAATAGAAGAACACAGTCTGCTGAACATACTACACAAACATTAGATGTTGCCATGGTTTAATTGCACATAACATGTAAACATTCACAGTGCAGGGAGGAAAAAGTATGCAAGGCCCTAGCTTAATAACTTCTCCCAGAGCTAATTGGAGCCAGGAGTGAGCCAACCTTGACTCCATTCAGTGTGATGATATTGGATGTGTTGCTGACAGCTGTCCTGCCCTTAAAAAACACACACCTGTTTTGGGTTTACTGGTTTCAAGAAGCACTGTCTGATGTGAACCATGCCTCGCAGAAAAGAGCTCTCAGAAGACCTACGATCAAGAATTGTTGACTTGCATGAAGCTGGAAAGGGTTACCAAAGTATCTCCAAAAGCCTTGATGTTCATGTGTCCACGGTAAGACAGACTGTCTACAAATGGAGAAAGTTTAGCACTGTTGCTACTCTCCCTAGGCGTGGTCGTCCTGTAAAAATGACTGCAAGAGAACAGCGCAGAATGCTGCATGAGGTAAAGAAGAATCCCAGAGTGTCAGCTAAAGACCTACAGAAATCTCTGGCACATGCTGACATTTTTGTTGACACATCTACAATAAGGAAAACATGAAACAAGAATGGAGTACATGGGAGGACACCACGGAGGAAGCCATTGCTGTCCAAAAAGAAGATTGCAGCACGTTTGAAGTTTGCAAAGAGCACCTGGATGTTCCACAGCACTACTGGCAAAATATACTGTGGACAGATGAAACCAAGATTGAGTTGTTTGGGAAGAACACACAACACTATGTGTGGAGAAAAAAAGGCACAGCACACCAACATCAAAACCTCATCCCCACAGTAAAACATGGCGGAGGGAGCATCATGGTTTGGGGCTGCTTTGCTGCCTCAGGGCTTGAACGGATTGTTGTCATTGACGGGAAAATTAATTCCAGAGTTTATCAAGACATTTTGTAGGAAAACGTACGACCATCTGTCCGCCAACTGAAGCTCCACAGAGGATGGGTGATGCAACAGGACAATGACCCAAAGCATACAAGTAATTCAACAAAACAATGGCTGCAACAGCACAGAATACGCCTTCTGGAGTGGCCCAGTCAGAGTCCTGACCTCAACCCGATTGAAATGCTGTGGCATGACCTTAAGAGAGCGATTCACACCAGACATCCCAAGAATATTGCTACACTGAAACAGTTTTGTGAAGAGGAGTGGTCCAAAATTACTCCAGATCGTTGTGCAGGTCTGATCTGCAACTACAGGAAACGTTTGGTTGAGGTTATTGCTGCCAAAAGAGGGTCAACCAGTTATTAAGTCCAAAGGTTCACATACTTTTTCCTCCCTGCACTGTGAATGTTTACATGTTATGTGCAATTAAACCATGGCAACATCTAATGTTTGTGTAGTATTATGTTCAGAAAACTGTGTTCTTCTATTGTTGTGACTTAGATGACGTTCAGAGCACATTTTATGCCCAATTCATGCAAAACTCTACGTAATGCCAAGGGGTTCACATACTTTTTCTTGCAACTGTATATGCCGGCTACAGACAGCAGATGTTTCCAGAAAAAAACAACAGATATACTGTATGCCCACCCTTGAAACCATTGTATAGGCTGCGGGACCCAAAAGTTGCATGATATTTTATCTTTTTTCTAAAGAAGTCTGGATTGATTTGGGCCAAATTAATTTTATTGTCACCAAAATTACATAAAAGTGGAAACTCTCAGTTTTGCTCATTGAATTGCTAAAAATATAATGAGACTAATGAGGGGGTTCTTTTGGCACAAGAACAGTTTGAGGATCGTTAAACTGAGATTCTTGATATTAGGGACATTCCTCAGCTAAGAGAGTTTTTTAACCAGTTGCCCTCCAGAGGATTTCCTCCACTTCCTGACCAGGCCATTTTGTACGCGGGCATGCAACACTGCACCCAAATTAAATTTATGTCCTTTTTTCCCCCACAAACAGAGCTTTCTTTCAGTGGTATTTGATCACCTCTACGTTTTTTATTTTTTGTGCCTTAAACAAAAAAAGACAATTTAAAAAAAAAAAACCCCAATATTTTTGACTTTTTGGTATAAAATATATCCAATAAAAAATGTAAAAAATCTAATTTCATAATAAATTTAGGCTAAAATGTATTCTGCTACATGTCTTTGCTAAAAAAAAAAAAAAAAATCCTAATACATGTAAATTAATTGGTTTCCATGAAAGTTATAACGTCTACAAATGGCGGTATATATACTGGAATTTTGTTTTTTTCTATACTAGTAATGGCAGCGATCAGCGATTTATAGTGGGACTGCAGCGGACATTTTGACACTAACTGCCACTGACATCGCCAGTGACACTAATACAGTGATCAGTGCTAATAAAGATCACTGACACTGTACTAATGGCACTTGACAGGAAGGGGTTAACATCTGGGGAGATCAAAGGGTTAACTGTGTGCTGTTTTACTGTGTTGTCTGTGTGTGTTTTACTATGTAAGCATGCTTCTTTGTAATGCTCTGCCTATGCAGAGCAATACAAAGCAGATTCCTGGAGCTGACAGGGGAGAGATTTGTATTGTTTACATACAAACCTCTCCTCTGTCAATGTTTCTCTGCGATCACCGGGTGCCGGCGGGGAATATCTGTCCGGGACCCTGTGATCAAAAGCCGTAGCCGCCAATGGCGGAGCGGGTAGGGCAGCAGGTCCGCTCCGCCTACCTGGAAATGCAAAATCACGTATATATACATGCTTTTGCGCAGCCCTGCCACCCTGTAGAAGTATTTATGCTATAGGACAGAGGGGAAGCAGTTAAAAAATGAATTAATAGGTTTCAACTTACTCCATTTACTGCTTAAAAAAAGGTATCTATATTAGTATATTCAATTAATATTATATCTGTATATTATATTAATATTTTATATAGCGTAATACACTGATCAGCCATACCTTTATGACCACCCACCTAATATTGAGTAGGTCCCCATTTTGCCACTAAAACAGCCTCTTTTGCTGCTATAGGAGCTCTGACCCATTGAGGCATGAAGTTTGCTAGACCATTGAAGGTATGCTGTGGTATCTGGCACCAATCTGTCAGTATCAGATCCTTTAAGTCCTCCTGTGTGTTGTGAGGTGAGGCTTCCATGGATTGGACTTGTTTTTCCTGCCCATCCCACAAATGCTTGATTGGATTGAGATCTGGAGAACTTGGAGGCCAGTTCAACAGCTCAAACTCTCGGTCTTAAGCTGGCCAGTAGGGCTGAACAAAATGACTTCCTCTATTCACACAACATAGGTGGATGGAGGAATCCCCCTTGCTGGCACATTGTATTTTGACAGTTGCACCCACTTCCGATCAAGAAAATGTTGTGTGATCGAATTCTTTCAAGCGAGGATGGCCACACACTAATTAAACTTTTGCTGGTCCATTCTGAACCGACTTAGTTTAGGTATAGCAAGGAGCTGGGGTGTGTTTGGGAATATTGCTCAGGGGTTCTCAGATCACCAGATAACTGGGAGAAGGAGCTTAAAGTGGATCTAAA